TCAAGATGTTCCAGGCAGGAGTGCTCTCTCTCTTATCAACACACATAGCTGGGAAACTGAGGAGCCAGGATGTTTCAGGCAGGAGTGCTCTCTCTCTTATTGGCACACACACACACAGCTGCAGTTTTCAGAAATATTTGATATGTTCCTGCCCTGGGGCCCTTCCCTGGGAGTTCATGAGTTCATGGTCCCATGTTATTTTGAGATACTGGCCAATTAAAATTTTTTTTTCTTACAATATCAAAGGGCTGAAGGTATAGGGAGGGAAATCCTCAAAGGGCATTCTATGTTCATGGAACCTTCTGTACAACTCACAACGTGCCAGTATCATCATGGGGACACAAGACTTATTTAACTCCAGAGAAAGTGTGGCAGAATCCAAATGGACAGAGGGATTTAGAACCACCTAGGAAACGAAGAAAACTTAACCTTAAATCATCCAGGAAGAGTGAGTTACAGGGCTATACTATGCATTACAGAAAGTTGAGGAATCTAGAGGATGTGAGGGAAGTGTAAATGAAACACTCTTCAGTTGTGTTTTCTGGATTGGTTTTAGTCTTTTACTTTCCAAGGTTTCAAAGTTCTTAGGCTTTTTTCATTCTTAAGGAGCTTTTCTTACAAATACAGACAGGCTGTTTAACCTTTCTTTTGTAGCGTCATGAATCCTAGGATCAACTATGAGGTTTTTCAGATACAGAGAGCTTCTGCACTATCAGAATCTACCATTCACAACAAAAGTGTGATAGTGAAATCCATTATATTGTAAATTTTTGACATCTTCTGTAGCTGCCTGTGGCCACAGACAAACTGGGTTCACCTGAAAGGGGGGCTGGAAATGAAAAAGGGGGCAGGAACGGAGAGGCGAGAAAAGCATGAAGCCAAGACAAAGTTTTCTGATCAAGGCTTGAAGTTTAATATTCAGCTCTTCTAATTTAAAGGAAAAGACCCACTGAACCCATTCTTGTTTCAGCTGGGTGGGTGGGGGAAACCATCCTTTGTCACAGCCGGAGATGTCTCGAGACAAGCTTAGCAGGCAGTCTATTTTTCTAAGTTCCTGTAGCAGGTTGTACATGCAGCCAAGGTGGGTAACTCCACCTAGATCCTGGTAAACAAGATCTTTCAGGCCTGCTCAAGGCTGGGAGTAGGCAGTCTTCAAATTTTATTTATTTTAATTGTTCGACTTATTTTATTACATTCCAAATGTTGCCCCCTTCCTCGTCCACTGTCCAAGAGTTCTTCACCCCATCCCCCATTGCCTTTGCTCTGAGAGAGTGCTCTCCCACCCCCTCCGACCTGTCCACCCCTCTCCCACCCACATACTCCCACCCCCAACCCTCACACATTACTGTAAAATTTTTATGTGCCAGTTATTGGTCGTTTGAATGAGAATGGTCCCATTAGGTTTGTATATTTTAATGTTTGGCCTCTAAACACATTGGAACTCTTTGGGAAGGATTAGGACATGTGACCTATTTGTTACAGGAGGTGTCATTGAGTTCACACCACCACCTTAAATTTCCATATTGCCCCCCTCCAATTTCAGTCATCCCTCCCTGTACTATTTCCCTCCATCCTTCCATCTCTCACTCGATCACCTAGTCCCTCCTACTTCCATGCCTATTGTCCCAATCCATCTGCATAGTCTATTCTATTTCCCCTTTCCAGGGGAAATACCACACCTAGAGCCCTCCTTGTTACCTAGACTCTATGGGTTTGGGAACTGTAGTGTGCTCATCCTTTACTTAACAGCTAACATCCACTTATGAGTGAATCCACATCATGTTTGTCTTTCTGGATCTGGGTTACCTCACTCAGGATTGGACTACTTTTTCTAGTTTCATCAATTTGTCTGAAGATTTCATGATGCCATTTTTTTTTCTAACAATTGAATAATGCTACTGTCTCGAGCCCTGACTCTTATCTGTCACAAGCAGGTTGTGATAAGGTTTTAGTATCCCCTCGGAAAGAGGAGCGACAGGTCCTTCTCCACTCAGGGATAGTATGCTGGATTGACCATGAGATTATCAGTTCCACGAGAGAGGAGTACACCAGAGATGGAGGGTTTGGCATTCAATTGTTCTTTAATGATGTACAACAGACAATATATTATCACCAATGCTAAAGCTATTGCCACAATGAGGTATTATCACATTTACTATGCATTGTCTCTAACAATATCGGCACAATGAACACAAATAATAAATTGCTAATTACCAAAGAAATAAGTATAACAATAAATACATCATTCATTCATGGGTTATACAACCTGAGTCCTTATGATGGTCTCCGTTACAGGTCCGTAGTCTGGGAAGGTGGGGTCAGGCTGTGGCTTCTAGCTAATTGAATTGCTAATTTGACCTCATAGGAGGCTTGACCACGAAGTTGGAGGGGTCGGTTTCTCGGTTGTCTCTTTGATGATCAGGTTGCTTTGATAATGAGGAGGCTTGTTCAGAGGATCACGTTAGGCAGCCATGGCTATCAATGTGTGATGATGTGCTCTGATCGGGCTCCTCTTTTATGTTTGGCGTGTGTGGCAGATAACCATTCGTGTCTGGTTATCTCTGGGCTCTGACTACATTGCAGCTGGTTGTCACACTTATTCAAAATAACTTGTTTCTGTGCACAAATATAAGGTTTCAAAATAACTTCTGGTTATCATAGCACTTCAAAACAATTTCACTTCAAAACTCTCCACAAGTTTCCTACTACAAAATGGAGTCAGTCCTGTTAAGGGCCTGCTCCTTACATTCCATCCCCTGATACCTGAAATGATGTCAACATGAAAGGTATTACTCAGCAATCACAGTTGGGGGATTTACATGATTTTGGCGCAAGGGTCTTTGATAATTTCCATCCATCATATCCATTAGGGCAAAGTCTCCCTTCATACAATTTATGGGGTGTTCTGGTATATTTATTATGGTATCAAATATGAGTGATAATAGCCCCTGAACACAGATTTAGGTTTTCTAAAATACCGTGTTCCAATGATGTAGCAATTTTATGAAGTTTTTTTTTTATAGAAATAAAATAAAGAAGGGCATGAACGAAGACACTTTTGAAATACATTTGTGGAAACATCAGAGAGCTTGATCACAATGGAGCAGGCCACTCTGTGTAGTAGCCTTCAGACCTGATGACACTCTCAGCTTTTGGCTTGGTAGAAGCTGGTAGCCTGCTAAGTTAATAGAGTCCAAAAGATTTCACCCAACAATCGCAAGGACGTTAGGTCAGACACAGAGGTGGAAAGGGATGGCAACAAGGAGGGTAAAGGAAGCCTGAGGCAAACATTATTAAGGCTCTTGATTGACATATTTTATCAGTTTCTTTTACCGCTTTCCACTTCCAATTTGTGTCTTTTAGTTGGCTTATGGAAGACAGGGAGCCAGACTGTGATCCCCAAGTTTCATGGCAAATTATCAGCCACGATGGGACTGAGACATATTTGGGATGTATGTCATTCACAATGAGTTCATGAAGAGAAAAGGTGGAAATTCCCAACAGCTACTGGAGTCATTTTACTCTAGAGAGAGTTCCATATTTTTCTATATCAGCATCATCATCTGATTTTTTTTTAAAAAAATTACCTCTGCTTGTTGAAGCAGACAAATGAGTTTGGTCTCTGTTTTAGATAAAATCTGACTTCCTGATCGGTGCACCTCAGGCTTTGATGTCCTGTTTGCTTTTGGACTGGAACTTAATTAAAAATTAACCTGTTTCTCAAGGGTTGGGGAAAACATAAAAAAAAATCCCTCTAATTATAAAAATTATAAACTTGAAATAGAACTTTTTTAATCTCAAATATAATATTGTTGCAGACAATCACGAGTTTACATCTCTTACAACTTGCTAGCTGCTGTGTGACCTCGGATATATTACTGTACCTTTCCAAACTTATTATTTCATTTGAAGAAATGATAGTTATTATACATGCTTCTCAGAATTGTTTTTAGCATGGGATACGTGAAAGGTGTACAGAAGGAAAGGGGGAGCCCTGTCTGTTAAGGTCTTAGAACATGGCACACACCAAATCCCCACAGAAGAAAAGGCCAGCAAGGGGACAGAAAAAAACTTAAAGGTTATCGGTTTTAAATGAATCCCAGACAACGGAGCTACACAAGGGCAAGACAGGTACCTGGAAAAGAAAGGTAGCAGACATGGTAGCATCATGAAGGAAGTAAATCTCCCTGAGAAGGTGAGGTGACCTCATGGGTGGGATATTCTTCCAGAAGTTTGTTCTAGACTGGAGCTGAATGGCTCAGAGGGAGGATGGGACAGCCTATTTCATTCCCCTAGAATAAACAGCAGGATGTTATGTGAGACAAGGCTGAGGACAGGAAATACTTAGAAAATGCTCAGATCCCAAGAAGGAGCTCACTGGAAATGTCTCTGCAAAACCATCCCCATTTCTTGCTTCACCCTTGAACTCCCCAACTGTAAGATTTGCTGGGAACCGCCAGATATCCCAGACTTCTACCATGATAAGGGGTAGAACTCCTTAAGGAGGGAAAATGGAGGTGTTGGAACTCAGGAGCCTGGAGAGTTGTATATAGATGATTAGGCTTAAATTTCCTCCTTTCCTATGACTCAAACTGGAGAATTTTCCAGCAGTGGAATAAGCTGTGCAGGAAACCTTCATGTTACCTGTTCCTTCCCTGAAGCCTTTCAGTTCAGAGTCACATGTCCCATTTCTGAATCCTAGGGTCAGCAGACTTTTCCTACTTACTATACAGAGAGAAATTTCTGAAGGACCAGAAAACTCCATCACGCACACTTGCACATGTGGAAGGAAGAAGAGATAAGGGAGGGACGCTATCTGACTCAGCTGTAGCTACATGGCTGGACAGCCTGTCCTTCCCACTTTATCATACATCTGGTTTCTTGAAAAAGAAAAGGGCACTTCCTATTTGCACCTGTGTTGGAGATTCCTGCCCATTCTCCAGCTTTATATAGAGAGCAAGTGGCCATCCTTTACCTCAAGCCACCTTGTAACATCCAACATGAATCCAGTGACGAAAATCGGCATAGCGCTCATCTTGACTTTATCTTTTCTCTGCTTCGTGGAGGGTAAGTGTCTGCAAAGGGGAGTGAGGGGAGGTCTTAGGGACGCTAGTCTCTAAACCACTGTCCTCCAGTCTCATCGGGCATTGCAGCTCAAATCTGAAGACTGAGGTTCTGGGCACTAGAGAGATCACATGTGATATACTAATCCAGAAGAAACAATAATTGCAGAAAAACAGGACAACAGTTTTCAGACCTTCAATTTTTTCGAGCTTTTAGTTATAGGTTTCTGTTTTATTTCCTCCTTTTCTTGAAATGCTGTTATGCTGTATTCTACACAACACTCTCATCCCCTTCTTTTTTCTGGCCACTTCTCCATGTATTTTGCAGGAATCTTCATTTAACCGATTAAGCCTGGGCTCTTTAAAGCTTCCACAGATTTCCTTCCACTTTCAAGGCTCAAATTATAATTTGTAGCTGAAAATAACTAGCTTCACTCCCCAGGGAGATCTCTCTTCTGAGCTTCTGTCTTATACCACTGAATGCACACCTCCGGTGAAAGTCAGCCTTGACACATAACTCTCCCTCATACTAAATGAAAATTAATGGCTAATTCAATTATGTGTACTTACTAAATGTATTCAAAGCACAATGGATATTTGTCTTTTGTCCTCTTTTGATACTAAAAAATATTAAAACAAAAATATAAAAGATGTAGGATAATTCTTTTAGAAATTTGGAAAGATCATTATAATTATTACTAAAAATCTAGAGTTCTTAAAATAAAGACCATGTGAATTTAAAACAAAGCAAAGAGGGCCATGTAGGATGCTTTTGGGGAGGGGAAAGGGATGGATATATATTCTAATTATATTATCATCTCAAATGATAATAATAAAATATCTAAAAAAAACTCCTTTTAGGGAAAAATGTTAACTCATATTCTGGACTAATTGCTAATGTCCTTAATGTACAGTGAGTTTGTAAAAAGTAGAAATAAAAAACCACAAATAGCCGGGCGGTGGTGGCACATGCCTTTAATCCCAGCACTTGAGAGGCAGAGGCAGGCAGATTTCTAAGTTCGAGGCCAGCCTGGTCTACAGAGTGAGTTCCAGGACAGCCAGGACTACACAGAGAAACCCTGTCTCGAAAACAACAACAACAACAACCCCCCCACCCCCGCACACAAATAATCTAACAGAGAATTAACTTAAGGATATAAAATTTCACCATAAAGTAAAAAGAAATGACTATTAAATATACAAACATGTGTTTAATCTCACTCCTTTTACAGTATGAGAAATGCAAATTAAAAGAACCTATCAGATTGTCAACAACCAGAAACTTAGTAACATGATACTTTGTCCCAATTGTAGTGAGGTAAAAACTGTATAAGTAATAATAAGAAAACTATATATATATTTTTTCTGTAGATTTTATTTTATCAAATTGATTAAAATAGCAACCATACTTTTTAATCCAGCAATTCTTCTTATATGAAATGATCTTGCAGACATAATCACAACCAAATGAAATTATAATAACCTCATTATATTGCAATGAATAATGTTCAACATTATTTTTGCAAATGATAGTAGAAGTGTAAGTAAATATAAGGACTTGATAAACTAAAGCATACTCTAAGGTTGCAATGTAATATTTTGATTATATCATACATTGTTCAAAAGAAATCAAAGTGCAGTGTAGGTATAGTGATCTCACTGTATTATATCAGGACACTCCTGTGAACTTCTCGTGATACCAAAATCCATGAATGCTCAATACCCTGATATAAAATTTTGCACTATGTTTGTCTCTAACACAGTTCTGTATGCTTTAAATTATCATTACTTAGAAGTGGACAACCTCTCTGGTTATGCAAAGACAGAGCCGTCATTCAGATTAGTAGCAATTGTTGTAAGGGTAGTCTTAGTGGAACAAGGGAAATCGAATTAGCTATAGCCATACGTCTTGATACTCAGTTGAACTTCTTAGCTAGAGAAGTCCTACCTTCTCAGCCTAATGGAATCTCAGTCATTGTACTGAATGTTTGTTGAAAAATTTATCATATATACATACATACATACATATATATATATATATATATATATGTATATATATGTATATATATATTCATTCTTTGTTTCTCCCTAGTTGCTTTGTCTTGTCTTCAAGTATAAGTACTACACAGATAATAGAAGCAATCTCTTCCTTATTTCAGTCCACTCACTAAGCTAAGCTAAGCTAAGCTAAGCTAAGCTAAGCTAAGCTAAGCTAAGCAAGAATTCTACAAATACCAGCTGAGACAGTAGACAAAATAGTCTGTGTGTACTACTGATGCCTCTCCCTGTTCCCATAGCCTTACGGAAAAAGTGCTTCTTTATCAACATTTATTCCTTCTATTGGTGATAGGAATTAGAGCCTCAGAAGATATGTCACCCGAGACTTTCCAGGCTGTGGATCTAGCAGAAAAGGACAGGCCCCTGATTTAACAACACCCAAGTGTGGATATGGGTTTTTCAATGCAGAGTCTCAATGAACTGTCTTTGAGATGGTATATATAGGAATTAGCAGCTGTTGTATCATTCTCCAAAGGTTTCCCAACCCCTCTCTCTTTAAACATAGCTCAGAGAGTGTACTTTACAACAAGGTTAAAAGTGCAAAGAATTTTCTTTTGTAAATAATGATATAGTGTGGATTAACCAGGGATACTGTCTCTACTGAAGCGTGAAAGAAGAACATTGGACCCTCTGGGTTATATATCATCTTGGCCCTAAGTAGGCACAGTTTATTTATTTATTGTCTCTGATGTCTATTTGTGGGGTCTTTAGGAACATATTGATAATCTCTAAGAAGTCTGGGGTTATATATAAAGTGGGTGTTGGTGAAGCTGGGCCCTGAGTGCTTTGTCCTCTCTGACTGTCTCTGGTCATAAGACCCCTCGACAATTGGATGGCACCTTCTTTCTCTGCTCCTGCTGTCCCCTCCTTGCTGGCAGGCCTCTTAGAAAGTGAGAGACTCTGGCAGTTAATGGGGCAGATGTTGGTGGACAGATGTTCTGTTTGCCACAGACTGCTGTGCTTGAGGCAGTGAAGGGTAGCAATTAGGATCTTACTACATTCAGAGGTGATCCTTAAATCTCCCATCTTCGTGTTCCTACATCTCCTTTCTTCCCTAGCCTCTGCTGTGCCTACTACCACCTTCTTCCTTCCTCTTCACCTTCCTAAGCCTGATGCCCTTCCTCCAATTTTCTGTCTTCTTCCTCATCCTCTGTTCTCCACTATATGCCTCCAATTTCTGTCTGAACATTCCCAACATGTCCCAACATGTCCCAACATTCTCAGTTATTCCAGCTTACTTGCTTATTTTATTTCATACAATATAATATGATCATCTTCGTTCCCTCTTCTCCCCACACAGCTCAGATCTTCCTTACTTCCCTAACCATTTAACTTCATTCATATTCTCTCTTTCTCTATCTCTTTAAAAAGGAAAAAATAAAAACTTCACAAAACTAAAAAAAATGAAAATTAAAACAAAAGCAAACAAATAAACAAACTCCAAGGAAAAGTGCCATAGTGTTAAAAAAAATCCAACAAAAAGAACAAGGAGTTTACTTTTTCTTGATCATACTTCCCTGGACTTGGAGTTTGCCCTAGAATGTGGTAGATACACCCAGCCAGACTCCACTGAACAAAACTGATTTTCCATTTGACAGCAAGAATCACCAGGAAGTGGCTTCTTAGTGGTTGGACCCAGTGTAGACTTCCCTTGTCCAGTTGGCTTGTTCCAGCGAGATTATAAACATGCTGCCCCAGTTTTTGTGAGTTCATAAGTGCATCACTTCTGTTGCATCTGGAAAACTGTTCCCTCTGAGATTCTCTGGATCTTATTTTTTATTTATATCTTTTCATTTTTATATTTTATATATTCTATCTATTCTATAGATTTTATATCTTTATTTATATCTTTTTTAAAAAATTAATCATTCCATTTGTTTACATCTCAAATAATGTCCACCTTCCCGGTTACCCCTCTACAACCTTCCCATCCCACATCTGCTCTCTCCTCCTCCCCTTTGCCTCTATGAGGGTGCTCCCTCACCCACCTACCCACCCACCCACCCACTCACCCACTCCCGTCCCACCTCTCCAGTGTCCCCCTACACTGGGGCACCAAATCTCCACAGGACCAAGGGCCTCCCCTCCCATTGATCTCAGACAAGGCCATCCTCTGCTACCCATGTATCTTGAGACATGTATCCCTCTCTGTACACTCCTTGGTTGGTGGTCTAGTCCCTGGGAGCACTGGGTGGTCCAGCCACCTGATATTCTTCTTTCTATGGGGCTGCAATCCCTTTCTGCTCCTCCAGTCCTTCTGCCAGTTCCCCAACTAGGGTCCCTGAGCTCAGTCTGATGGTTGGCTCCAAGCATCCTCATCTGCAGTAGCCAGGTGCTGGCAGAGCCTCCCTGGGGAAGATCCACACCAGATTCCTCTTGGCAACAGCAACAGTGATGGATGTCTGCAGACAGGATGGATCCCAAGGTGGGACGGTTCCCAGATGGCCCTTCCTTCAGTCTCTGTTCCATTTTTTGTCCCTGTATTTCCTTTGGACAAGAACATTTCTGGGTTAAAAACTTTGAGATGGGTGGGTGGCCCTATACCTCGACTGGGGGCTACGCCTATCTACTGGAGGTGGTCTCTACAGATTCTATCTCCCCTTCGCTGCCTATTTCAGCTAACGTCATATCCGGTGAGTCCTGGGTACCGCTTGCTTCCCTGGTATCTGGAATCCTTCAGTGGCTACCCCCAGTTCCTCATTCCTCACTGCTACGTATTTTATTCGATTTCCTGACCCTCTGTACCTCTCTCCTGTCTCCTCTAGTACCTGATCCTGTGTCAGGGTCCAGCCTCAACACAGGATTGGAGTTCTCAACTGGAAGCAGGAATATCTGGAAGGCGCATAATAAATATACACAGACTACTTTTTGGGTACAAGTTGACAGGCACTTTTTCAAGGCTTAAAGTTTCTCTCTTTTCATTCTCTGCTTTCTTTCTCTCTCTAT